GATCCGCGTATCAAAATCAAACTTTGATCTTGGTATTTCCGTGAAAAATAAAACCACGGATGCATACTGACAGCCAGATCACGCAATCAAGTAGACACTCTAGGGCGCAACGCGATGAAAATTGCACTCCGTTGGATGGCGGCCCCCGGCATGCATAGACTTTGCCCTCTGTCGTAGTTGTTGTTTTATTTATTGAATTACACTAGCTAGCTAAACTTTTTTTTTTTTTTTTTTTTTTTTTTTTTTTTTTTTTTTTTTTTTTTTTTTTTTTTTTTTTTTTTTTTTTTTTTTAAAAAAAGATACAAAATCCGCACAACTGTAGTTGGAATCGCGCATCCTCTCGGAGCACAGCGGCATGCCGATTTACCGAATGGTGCCCGAATCCCTCGGGCATGAAAAAGGCGAAATAGGGCAGCAAGAACCACTCAAAGCGTCTGGTGTCAAGTGGACGATGACACGCGGCCCCCTGTTTCATCAAGCAGTGGCAAAAGCGTCTCGACCGTGACGCGACTTGCATGACCTGAAGCATGTCGACGGGCTTACATACATACACCGCCCAATTTCTCGACGTCATTCCATGTGCCCAGCGTAGACGATATCGACAGGAGCAAGCATGGTGAATCCTTGCGTTGGTTGACCCCCGATGCACAATATATCAATCACATGATGTACCATAATACATGGCAGCCGATAATCTTGTCACGCACAAAGTCATCAGATCAATTTGTTACACATAGGCGGACGTCTTCACGGAGCCCATAAAGTACATGGTTTGGCAAAGCTCCGCCTCAATTGTTAAAATGCAAAGCAGCTTTTATGAACAAAATCATCTATCAACACAATCAGTGACAGGTTAGCATCCAACAACCACGACACTATTGCCTGCGCCGTGATATTGGTCTGATGCCTTCCTGGCCAAGTCGTCCATCGACATACATGCGCAGCCATGAACTAGTCCTCAGAAATAGTCGGTACGAGAGCACAGGCGTCGTTAAATAGGCCGCGCCTCTGCTATGGACCAGGGACCCAGGCGGGTACTACTTGTCCAACCATGAGCAATCAGAAAATGAATAACCTTGACGATTGCGCACAATTATCGCGCCGTGTCTAACTGCGAAAATGAAGAAGAAGAAAAACATCCTATACCTTCTATCAAACGCCATTACATGTACCATGTGCTTTTGAACTTCATATTCGAATGGGCCATCTTGCCACTCTCCAGCTCGCAAAGACCTGAGCCAACTTTGTAGACGACAAGTCACCTTACCACCTTCGGTTTCCCAGGGGTTGGCTGTTGGCATTGGCTGAGACAAGACGGGTCAGCTCGTGGTGAAGTTTACATGACTTCAATTTCGTCGATACCCACCTCTACCACCACCACCTCGTCCGCGTCCCCAGCCTCCATATCGATGGCCTCCTCCGCCACCGAAGCGGGCCATTTCGGCAAGGCGAGGGTCAATCTTTTGCTTGGCCTCCTGCAACACATTGACGAGCTCACGGGCCTGTTTCTGGTCTTGGATGACGTTGTTAGCCTAGTAGTGGCTATGAGGGATACAAAAAGCTGGTACTTACTGTCAGTGGTGAAGAACGTGATAGCCGTTCCCTTGGCACCAGCTCTGCCGGTACGGCCAATTCGGTGGATGTAGTCCTCCGAATTGTTGGGGTAGTCGTAGTTCAACACATGGGTGATGTTGCGAACATCTTGTATCAATCAAGGTTAGCAGGCGAAGACGAGGGTGTGTATAGCAACGTTCCAGCGCAGTCATGCGTCAGGGATGGCTCGAAATTAAAGCCATCTGAACATTCACTCCTTGGAAAAACCAGGGCAATCCAATTGGGTGCGACAATGCCATTCATCCTTTTTGGGATACTTGTGGATTCCGTCACCGGGTCCTCGGGTCAGGGAGCCTTGGGAGACAGCTTGAAGAAATCAAGAGATGCCAACTTCTACGCCAGTACCACGGTAGAGAAAAGGGGTACGCGGGCAGAAATACGAGTATAGCAAAGGCAAGGCTACACAGCGGATCAAGACTCCACGGTTGGAGAAACCAGGCGGACACGGTTTACATCAGGCACGCTCGCGCAATTAAGATATGGCCCCTAGACGTCAAGAGTAAAATACAGCAAAAGCGTTGCTGGAAGTTGCTAATGGGTAATAAGGCGAGGGCAGAAGGGTTGGACGGGGGTGATGATACTAACCAATACCACGTGATGCTACGTCTGTGGCCACCATGATGGGGCTCTTTCCGGTCTTGAACTGGTCGAGAACCCAGTCACGTTCGTTTTGCTGCTTGTCGCCATGAATAGCTATAGCAAGAGCAGTTAGTAACCAACTGTCGTGGGATAGAATGCTTGATACGATGGATACGTACAGAGTGCTGGCCAACCGTCTTGACGAAGGAATCGGGTGATGTCGTCGGCAACTCGCTTTGTTCCGACAAAGATGAGAATCTTGTTCTCTTTGTTTTCCATGACCTGCTCAAGGTGCTTGATCATGCGATCGCGCTTTTCCATGTCAGACACAACCTCGACAATCTGCGTGATTCTGTGGTTGGCGGACAAGTCCATGGAGCCGATGTTGACCTGAATAAAGTCGGTCTGGAAATCAGCAGCCATGGCTCGTACCTCCTTTGGCCACGTCGCGGAATACATGAGAGTCTGTCGGTCAGGTCGAATCTGCTCAATGATCTTTCGGATCTGGGGTTCGAAACCCATGTCAAGCATGCGATCAGCTTCATCAAGGACAAGATAAGTGACACGGCGCAAATTCGTTTTGCCAGCCTCCAACATGTCGATCAAACGGCCAGGCGTGGCAATGCAGACCTCAACGCCTCGGGAGAGATCGCGAATCTGAGGACCTTTGGGGACGCCGCCGTAGACGCAGGTATTTCGGATGCGTGAGGAGCGACCAAACTTGGTGATTTCTTGCTGAATCTGGACAGCAAGTTCGCGAGTCGGGGCTAGGACAAGGACAATGGGACCATCCCCAGGGGCCAAGAGAGGCTGGGCGTTGATGTGAACAATAGCAGGAAGACAGTAGGTCAGCGTCTTTCCTGATCCCGTTTCGGCAATACCAACAACGTCACGTCCGGAAAGAGCCATTGGCCAGCCCTGTGACTGAATGGCAGTGGGGGCAGGAAAGCCCTGGGCCTTGACCTCGTCCAAGACGTAACGTGGAAACCCGGCCTCGTCAAAGGTCTCAACAGGCTTTGGCACATCTCTTCCTGCAATTGTCATCTGATGTTTGCGACGGAACGCATCAACCTCTGCAGAGGATCTATTGGCGACCTCCGGGCACTCTTTATAGAACGACTTTTCGAATTTAGGCAGCGTAGACAGGTCTGTGAAATCGTTAATACTCTTCGGTGCATGATCTTGATGGAAACGAGGAGTACATACCCCAGTTTTGCTTCTGTAAACCAGCGCCGAGGTTGCTCATGCGATCGCCACCACCACCACCGTACCCGCCATGGCCACCACCATAACCGCCGCCGAAGCCGTTGCTGTTACCGTGGGGGCCGTTGCTGTAGCCATTAGATCGTCTGAGACTGGAGCGTTAGCAAGATATTCTTCCAAAATGTGACGAGCTGGCCAGCTGGGCATGGCGCGATTGCCGATACACATGGAACAACTTCCAGTGCAGCGAGTTGACAATCGCTGGGTAATGCCGAGTCGCCGTCGAATGTCAAAACTCACCCTCCACCGTAGCCGCCGCCGTATCCATTTCGATCTCCTCTGTCGCTTCTGTCGCGACCATAGCCTCCGTGACCACCACCGTAACCACCACCGCGACCGCCACCGTAGTTGGACATGTTGGCGTCCTTTGTCGATTTGGGTCAGGGCTTGTAGGGCCTAAAAGATGAGGGTTATGTGAGCGGGATGTTGCAGTCCGTCAGTATTGAATCACAGATTTCAAATCCGATAAACGGATGCGTCGTGCAAGGTGATAGGGAGGAGTGCAGGTCGAGAAAAGTGAGAGTTGCCGCTGCGTAGTGCAGAGTTTGAAAGAACAGAGTTTTGTTGGCCCGACTCGCGCCTGGACTCTTTTTTTCCCTTCCGCTTCTGCCAGGCCCCTTCCCATTTTTTTTTTCAGTCTGCCACTAGGCGACGCTAGTAAAAACCTACCTCCACTAGGGTGCCTTGAGTGGGTCTTCCTGTCTCCTCCGTCGCCTTCTGCTTATGCAATATGACACATGTGAGCTACCCTACAACACTAACGTGCAAAGTTTGACTTCTGCTTTGGATTTTACATCTGGCGATTAGATATGTTCGGAATTACACGTCTAATATGCAACTTTCCTTACCATGCGGTTTTTTTTTCCTGTAGTGGGTATTGTGGATATTGGCGCTGTGGCATTGACGGGTTAAGCCGCTGAAGCTCTATTTTGTTACAAACGATTCGGATACGTTCAAGACTCTGGTCACCTATCCGCGCAGGCAACCCACCTAAGTACTAGATGGGTAGGCGGGCATATTACGGTAGAGAGCTGAGTGATTGATATTGGCAAGCGACTTGACTACACTGCTGCTTCCAGCTTAGTGTAGTAAGCATGGGAAATTTATAGGGGCCGTGGACCGAAACCACACTTGAAAGGTCCTAGTATCATCATCATTGGCGCTATTTATCCGATGACTAGAATCCGCCGTACATCATGGCAGACGAGAATACTCATGTATATTGAACAATATGAAGTCAAGTCAAATTTCCTCTAGTCTAAATACGAATGCACCCTTGCTCTATCGTTGGATGTCCCAAGTAATTATCTATGTCTCACTCCCCGATCCGTAACGATCGTGTGGCCTCCACGTCCACAGCGTCTGTGTACATACTCGCCAGTTTAATTGTCCCCTTTACTCTCGCGACACATCACGGCCGAATGCCTTGGACTTGAGCCAATCCAGAATGACCAAGACTCGATTGCGAGCTGTTTGGCAGTCGGTTAGTTCCCAACACTCGAGGAAAAGAGGCAGAAAGGGGCCACCAAGGCGAAAATTGACAATCAAAGGAAGGGGTATGACTCACTGCTAAAGCACATGGAGAGGTAAGCGCTGCGCCAGAAAAGATAGGTCATTCTGCCACCGGTGGCCAAATTTCCGTTCCACCAACTGACATCAGCAACGGCCTTCTCACTACCAATGTAAGCCAAGCTGCCCTGGTGACTGTATCTGAAGGGTTTAATATCCTTAATTCTGCGCAGTTGCTTCTCCAGGCTCTCAATCTCCTGTGCGGCCTCGGCCGAGTTACCGGCCTGCAGATTCATCTTGCTGCTCAGCTCCTGAATGCGGGACTCGTGCTTTTCAGTCTTGGCCATGTTATTGAACAGCCGGCCGAGGAAGTTGCCTTCCTGAGACGCCACCTGTGCAGTGGGAGCATACCCAGCGACGGCGCAGTCACCAATAGCCCAGATATCACGGGTACCCTGCACAACCAGGTACTCGTTGACGGCCAAGCCACGGCGGGAATCTTTCTGGGCAGGAATCTTGGTTATCAGGTCCTTGATGATTGGCCGAACGGCGTTGCCGGTGGCCCATACCAGAAGGCCGTAAGGAATGACAACGCGCTCCTTGCCACCGTCAGGGCGACTGACCTCGGCCTCGACTGTGGTATTCGTGACCCTCTTGACCATGGTCTTTGTCTTGATGTCAATCTTTTCCTCACGGAGCGTATTCTCGGTGTAATCAATGAGCTGCTTTGAGAAGGAGGGAAGGACATTAGGGAGGGCTTCGATCAGGGTGACCTTGAAGCGAGGGCTGATTTCAGGAACGAGCTTCTTGATGTCCTCCTCGAAGAAGTCCTGGAGCTCGCCAGCAAACTCAACGCCAGTGGGCCCGCCGCCGACAACAACCATGTGCATCAGCCTGTCAATCTCGTCGCTGGTCTGTCCCTTGAAGGCGGCCGTCTCGACGCAGTCCATGATCTTCTTGCGGATCTGCTGGGCATCGCCAATCTCCTTGAGGAAACAGCTATTTTCTCGCACACCGGGAATGCCAAAGGTTGCGTTCTCAGCACCGACGCCAATAACGAGCATGTCGTAAGGAATCTCGGTCTCGGAGGTGGCCCCCTGGATTTCCGAGTTGTCGACAATCTTGACGACCTTTCGATCGGGGTCGATTGATGAGGCTTCCGCCTCATAAAACTTGACTGCTGCTTTCTTGTGTCGTAGAATGGTTCGAACAGGCTCCATAATGGACCTGTGCTCGATGGTGCCGGTCGTGCATGACGGCAGGAGGGGAGTGAACAAGAAATAGTTCCGGGGAGAGACGACGACGACGTTGTAATTCTCCGTATCCAACTTCTTGAGCAAGGCGACAGACCCCCAGCCAGTACCTGAGAAAGGATGGAGGTGGTTAGCAACAGTGTACAGCATCAGCTACGGAGTGGGACTCTCCGATTTCGCTCACCTAGAATGACGAGCGTCTTCTTGGTTGGATCCGGCTCGAACTGCGGTTCGGGATGGCGATCCTGGTAGACGATGTAGCAAGTGTAGCCTACAAGGCCAACGGCGGAGAGGTAGGTGAGTCTCCATGCCCATCTGAAGGTTCTGCGCAGTCTGCCGGGCTTGGGCTTGGGGGCTTCGTCAGCATAAGCTCTGCGGAATGCGACCCTGCCGGTCGCGGCGAGCCTCATGGCGACGGTCGGCCTCGCAGCTGATCGCAGAGCATGACGTCCGGTTGCCGTAGAGTAGGCTGTAGAGTACGCTCTGGATCCGACGCGGGCTGGCAGTGCCAATTGACTTGCTCGACCGAAGGCGGCCAGAGCTCGGGGGGCGGAAGGCATTGCGCAAGAGCTTTGGAGAGCCGTGTGTTGTGCAGGCGCAGCGAACTGCACAAAGACTCAATTGCGCCGGCAAGCAGTGATAGGGAATGCGTAAACGCGCAATAAGAAAGGGAAAAATGGGTGCTAACGTGCCACCATAAAGGGAGGATGAGATGACAGAGAGAGAGTTTTTGTAGCTCGAGGTGAACTCGGCGGCCAAGAGAGAGAACTGTTTGTCTGGGCTTGGCGGTTTGGCGCTTAATTTTTTTTTTTTTTTTTTTTTTTTTTTTTTTTTTTTTTTTTTTTTTTTTTTTTTTTTTTTTTTTTTTTTTTTTTTTTTTTTTTTCCCTTTCTCTGACTCTGTCCTTTCCCCCCGGCGCGCGCGGTCCGTTCTTCGCAGTGACAGCGTCAACGACAAGCGCCAGAGTCTTGTGCCCTTGTGCCCTTGGCGCCCTTCTTTTCTTGTTTTTAATTGGGCGGAAGCATCTTTCGGTCTTTCGGTCTTGGGGTCCTTGGGTCCTTGGGTCTTTGGTTGTCCTATCGGCCCTGGATCGCTGTTTTCTCGGTGATTTATTTTATAATAACACGGAAAATCTTTGCTCTGCCCAGGACATGGACGAAATGCCGTGTGTCTGGTAGCGTGCTTGTAGATACTCGGTGGTCTGGACTCTGGAGATGCCGCTGCCGCTGCGACATCTTGACCAAGATGCACGATTCTTCAGGATTCTCCAGCATTTCAGCCTTGTCTAGATGCAGGCTGTCGGCTGTCTTGATGGTCTGTCTGGAGCCGCCGTCCCATCTTGGCCCATCTTAGCCCATTCTGGCCCATCGTTCCGACATCAGCCGGTATCCGCAAATCTTCACAACCGTCATGACGCCCACGGGCAGGAAGCGCCATGTTCGGTTCTTCCCGCCATAGCCTGTCGCTGCGTCACGGGAGCAGCAGCTCGTCGTCCTCGATGGCTCTCTCGCTGCTCTCGTACCGAGGCTCCAGTTTCTCCCGACAGACGTATATGGGTTGATGGGGTCTACCAACACAAACACTTGCTGGCTGATATCATGTGGCATACATACGTCAAGGCAAACAGACGCCGACATGTTCCTGCGGCAGCCCATCATGGTATTATCGGAACTGCTTTCTCCATTTCTATCGATACGGAGTAAAAGAATCTCGATTTTGCCGGCAACCCCCCGACCCTGACAGCCCTGACAGATATTGAATGACCATTGGCGCGGAGCAAGGCTGCCCGTTGCTTGAGTGAACAGCTTCATCAGCTTCATCTTGGACACAAGGGCACCATGACGCTGACACAGATGAGCAATTCAAGGCACCCTAAACTTCGAAAGGTCCCGCGGCAAGTTGCAGCCCGCGGATCGCTCTTGGTCTTGGACTCTTTGCCCGTGGTTCTGCCGTGACGGTCATGAGGGACTCAGGGTCATGGCGCCGCCCGCATTCTGAAACCAGACGTGGTCAAATCTGCGACATGACGAGCAATGAAGCAGCCTGCTCACGCAGCGTTTGTCGCAGACCAAGCCCCAACGCTACTCCGTGTTGTAAATTGTAACTGGTTATCGCATCGCCCGCACCATCCTCTCCACAGTCTCCCCGATTCCACATGTGCATAAATCATAAATCGAAAGCCCATACGCAGGGGCAATCGTCTTGTAACGCCTCAACGAACCCAATGTGGTAACGCCAGCGTCACGGGTAGCTGGCTGTCCTGCCACGCAATCACGGACCTCTTTTCCCACGGCACGCTCGTCAAAACGCTAGACAGGCTAGCTGTCTGAGGTCTCTGACCAACGGCTCTAACCACCCAGTATCTGCCAATCTGGCCGTCGCAGATAGACATGCTCTACCGTTCCGGCAGCTTCTTCGCCTTGATGATGGACCATGTTGGAGCCCCTTGAAATGGAATCTCTGCGACCACAAGGAAAGGTCCCTCTCGCCTCGGAACCACGCGCGCCGTCGACCAAACATGGGGCACTCGACCTCGACCTAAAGACTGTTTTGTCTTCTTCCTTCGCTCTCCCTCTTATTTACTCCAGGTCCCTATATCCACCTCTGGTCTTTAAAACTCCCTTGGCTATTTACCCTTTGGCCGCTGCCTTTTCTGGCCGAGCTTCAACTGTGAATGGTGGATCGGATTGCTCTTCTCGCTACTTCAAATTTCATCATCGGGGCTGGCCCTGTATCATTCTCATTCACTTACAAGTCTCCTCCGAGTCCGCGGGACATTCTTCTTTGTGGACGTCCTTTTCCAAACACCTCGTCTACTTCTTCCAGCTTAGCTATGAATTAAACATATCGACTTCCTACCAAGCCCCAAAGGAGAATAATGCAAAGCAACTCACACGATTTGTCTTGAGAAACCATCATGGTATCGGTTGCTGAGAAAGACGGCCTTGCGTCGCAGGACAATACACCACCAACCAAACTCCCCATGGACTTTCCCAGCTGGACTCGGGCGGAAGAAAGTGATGGGAAGGACCGAGATGCCAGGTTATCAATACTACACCGAAGAAGCAGAAAGTGGAACAACAATGGCGAGAGGAAAAGGGAACATGGCGTAGCACATGCCGCCGACCCTGGACAGCGCCCCAGCCGTCTTGATAGCAGAGGACTTTTCAAGGATATTGCTCAGCCGGTTGTGAGCGGTATATTCGATGCCTTATCTCCTCACGACGGGCCGGAGAGCAGCGATGATGAAAAGCATAACAAGTCCAAGGGCACGAAGCAGCCTGCCCCGATTCAAACTCAACCTCCGCCTGAGTTACCAGCACCGAAATCACCAGAGTCACCAAAATCACCCAAGTCACCCAAGTCACCAACTTTACCGGCTTATCCAACCCCTTCGTCTCTTCCAGTCTATTCAACCGCTTCTCCTCTTCCACCGCCGCCTCCCCCAGTTTCAAATCCAGGGAACGTGAGTCATCTTGATAACCCATTGACCAAGCGGATATGGAAACAGTAACCCGCCCTTTGCGCACGTTGATTACCACGTTGATTGTATGGCTGACCTTTGCCATTAGCCTAAGCCCACAGAAGCCGTTGTCAACCCTATCCAGCCGCCCCCGGGATACACGTTGTCAGACAGCAGCTACGGTCCAAGTATGAGACTCAGCACGTTGACTCCAAGTGCTCCCACAACTCGACCGACAACTACGACCAAGGTGCCTCCGCTTTTACTTACCCCGATTGTTACCCTCCCCGTGCCGGTGCCGGCATTGTCTTCTGGCGCAAGAAAAGGTGTCAATCTTCCGCCAACGTCAGATGCGGTCTTGACATTTTCGACGTCAATGTCTCCAATGAGCCCGATGAGCCCGACGAGCCCGACGAGTTCGTCTTCCGTGTACCCCACGCCAAACTCTGATTCAGCCAAGGGATATTACCACGATCACGATCATGACAAGGGCAATATACATCCCAAAGTAGAGATGGCCCTTGTTGCCCTGGGCTCAATTGGTATGCTGAGAGCCTTCTCTTCCCCGGAACGGAAATCGGGGCTGGTTTGACTGATACATGAGAATGCAGGTTCATCAATCATTGTTGCGTTTATTGGGTGGTTGGTTTGGCGGTGCCACAAACGCCGTCGGGCGAATGGCAGTTCCAGGGCCTGGAAACCACATTTCCCCCAAAATATGCCTACCGATAAACCAAAGCTGTTGGTGACGAATACACTCGCTCGCATTCCCATTCTCAAAAACCGCATGGCTGATCGCCGCCGCCGCTGGACAAACCTTGATCAAGCAGATCTCGGCCCGTTCAGTGAGAAGGCATATGTGGCCCAGTCACTGGCGACACAACAGCCACCTCTCTCGGGCGTAGCTGTTCAGACCGATTTTGTTAGAACCAGCATACACGCCGATGTGCCTCAAAATGGGGCAACGTTACATGTGCCAAAGGTTTCCATATCATCCACTGAGCCTCAGGCCGGCAGTACCCTTCGCTCTGGAGCTCAACTCCCAAACACTCGCCTGAGCGACATCTCTTCCCTGTCATCCGGATTTGGTGATGGGCAATTCATGATAGATACCTTGAGTAGCGGCACAAACTATGCAAACAATACCGCTTCTGAGACTACGGTCAAAGCACCATTGCCCGTGGCAAGGCGAGAAAGCGTCGGCGCTTTGAGCCAGCGACGCGACACCGTGTATACCGAGGCAAGTGAGGATACGCCCGCCCGGTTTCGCAGTGTCAACTCATGGGTGAGGCAGCAGACGGGACGAGTAACGCGTGCGACGCAGCGCAACCAGGCATCCGACGCCCCGCCCGTGCCTGCATTGCCGCCGGAGCAGGACTTTGATCTCATGATGCCTGATGGGGAGGAGCCTCGGCGGGCAGATTCTGTAACAGGACACGGTGTAGCTCGTTGAGATGATGGTAATACCAAACAAGAGAAATCATAGTATGACGCGTTGTCCTTGGACAATGAAAAAAAAACATACATCTATATATAATAAGACGACACAATATTTAATTCAGAAAGCGTCGCCCTGCGATGACAGACATACCCAGTGAACACTCTTCTACGTCCTTTTTTTGTTCTATGGCGGCCTCTATTCATAGTTGGTCCACCAAGCTGATTCTGCTGAGAGAATATGCAAGCGCATAGGTGCATCTTCTAGAAAGAAGGAAAGAAAAAAGAACCCCTCATCTATTTGTGTGGAAACATTTCCCAGAATCCGATTTCCATCTGTAGACGTATTAGGAACTTGCCAATGACGAAAACAATTCATCTCACCAACGCACCTTTGTCCCATGTATGAATATCTTGATCAGCTCTTCGACCCGGCTTGGTGACTGAAGCCGTATATGCTTTTCCAAAAGCTCTGCATGCCGGAGGCGCCGCGCAAATGTGTCAGCTACAAAAAAGCCGTCATTGTGCACCTGGACAAGCATGCCGCAAAAAAAAAAAAAAAAAAAAAAAAAAAAAAAAAAAAAAAAAAAAAAAAAAAAAAAAAAAAAAAAAAAAAAAAAAAAAAAAAAAAAAAAAAAAAAAAAAAAAAACTCACCCGAACCTAGCCTCACTGCGCTCGTGTAGTCTTCGGCCACGTAGTTTTGGATCCACGGCCAGTAGACATTGTCTTTGCGACGGGTGAGTCTGTGAGAATGCAGCATCTGAGCTACTGCGCCGTAGCCGAGCAGGCAGGGAGCCAGAGCCATTTGGAGGGCCAGCCAGTCTTCGCTCTGGCCAACGTCCAGTACGTATCGGGTGTATGCCGTGCATGCTACATGTTGCGGGAAGCATCAATGTGAGTTTATATTTCGTTTTTTCTTTAATTCCCTCATGTACTGCTCCATCATGAGGGAGGAGGAATTTCAGGAAGCCAAGGGGAGTGAGGGGCATGAGTGGACGAGCCTCCTTACCTTGTTTTTCTTCAGTTGCTTGTATTTCTTCCTCTGATATGCCAAACTGCTTGCAGTAGTTGACATGTAACTGCATCTCGTGAACGATGTGGCCGACGATTTTGTTTGCCTGTTTTGGAGGCGTTAGATGCGACAGACACTAGTGTTTCGTGCTATCCATGAAACTGACCCTGCCGATGCTTTCGATATCCTTTGATTTATAAGCAGCCAGGGAATTTGCTCTTGAGAAGTGAACCTGTATTTTCCCCAATGTACGGCGTGTTAGAGTCTGTAAAATCTCCCCAGTGCTCCCCAGTGTTGAAGAGGATTCAGAAAAAGGGGTGGAGCGTGGCGCACCAAGTACAGATAGTCTTGGATAATATATCCCTTGAAAGACTCCAGCGGCAAGGTTCCGTCGCCGAGAGCCATTACGAATGGATGATAGACAAATGTCTTCCATACATCCTTAACGTCAGGCCGCTGGAGGAGATACTCTATGAAATAGCCACTGTTTACGCCGCATTAGCCCTGGAGAGGGTTTGGTGTGGTGTCGGCGGGAGGGCAAAGGGGGCAATGTGCCAACCTACGGAGCGAATGGAAGGCTTTGGATTGAGTGAAAGTGATCTAGTGGTCCGTTTCCTTTACCTAGCTTCGGTGCGCTCCTTATCCCAGCCTCGATATATCGACAAGCTGAGTGGACCGCAGCAGGCACGTCAATTCCTTTGGCAAGCCCGGCAGCGATTGCAGCTTCACAGACGTTAGAGAAATTGACCTTGACAGAACAGGAGTAATACCCCGGAAACAGTGTGGCAAGCCGAGTTTCACTTACAAGCTAGCGAGCATCCCGTACCGTGAGTACTAGTGCTTGGCTGATAGGGGCTCTGTACTCTGAAAACCTTGCCCTCTGGTCCGACTAGAAGGTCTACAACGACGTGCTTCTCGTCGTCAGTTTCGGCAGCGCTCATATCTGCACGGAACGGTAGATGGCCTCCCTTGACAAGAACCCATTCCGGGCCGAGAGTTTGGATACGACGACCAATGGATTCGATATCAGAGACGGAGCAAATCTTCTTTTCGGCCAAGGCAGAATCGCCGTTTTCCGAGAGGATCAGAATGGCTTCTGGGATGTTGGGCGTGAGTACAGTCGTAAGGGGAAGCAGATGCCTCGAAAGCTCTCGTATAGCCTCACGTGGAAGCAACTGAGCACCAGATGTCGACACCATTACCTAATAAGACAGACGGCTTTAGCAACTTGCGGCCATCGAATGATTCGCTGGGCGGGTGTATTGCCTACCGGATCGACCACCAGAGACGTAATTCTGTGCTTGATGACTTGCCTCGCAATCATATCAATGGTCTCTGCTGCAGCAAGCATGCCTAGATTGGAAGATGAGAGATATGTGTATTAGTACGTGACGAAGTTTGACGCACAAGATTTATAAGCGTGTTGGCAGTTCTCAACATTAAAAAGCCCTGAAGAGGGGGTTCTGATGCTTGCACAGGTGCGTGGTATCTAACAAACCTGTTTTGATTACGTCTACGCCGACATCCTCGATACAAGCCTCGATCTGCTGTTCCACAAACGTTGCCGGGATAACGTGAATTCCCTTGACACCCGTGGTGTTTTGAGCAGTCAGGGCTGTGGTCGCCGTCATGGCGTAGCAGCCATGTGCGGCGAGAACTTTCTGGTCTGCTTCCAACCCTCTGCAGAATCGACATGACGAATGGGATAGAGTCAGCTTAGTCAATCCTGGCGGTATGGATGGTGGGAAGGCCGGCCCAAATGAAGGAAACGCCGCGAGAATAAAAAAACCAAGGTCTTATGAAATAAGATCATGCATGGGTAGTCTGACGAGCAACTTACGCGCCACCGGAGCAGTCGGAGCCGGCAATGACTAGCACTCTGCCCTTGATCATGGCTCCTGTTGCTTGATAAACTGCACATATGAGGTTCAATCCTGCCAGCCTCGAGTTGTGACTGTGACGGTACACTCTCTCCGCAACGGCGTTGGAATTAACCCATCAACATCACAGTTGTCAGCTGTGGTGCCCACGACCAAAAGAAGCGCACTGTGTGGGGCGGGTCATGGTTATAGTTACAAAATAGCCGGAGGAGAGACATCGCTATCCCGTCAATCGACCCGAACCATCTGCCACAACGACCGATGGTTCGGGTCGCGGTATCCTGGAGGAAAATTAAGTCATATTCATCCAGTCCCCCCTAAGTTAACGCGATGGCACCATAAACGCTCCCCAACGCCTCCGTTGTCGGCCTCGATACACGTGAACCACATGAAGGATCGAGAGTATCCGTCCTTTGGCCGATTTACTCCATGCTGAAAGTACATTCCAGCCTTCCCCTTATCCCCCCTTTTCAAGCTGACTGTATGCTACGCCATTTCCAAATGTATGTAAATTGCAAAATACCGCTGTGATATCCATAAGGGCAGCCCCGCGTCTCGCTTGGTATCTGTACTGTACCTGACTCTGTTTCCCAAAGTAAATTGCGGCGAAACCGGGATCCCAAAATCAGAAACAGGAGGCCTGATCCATTGCCTTCAAAAGCCCTCATACAACAAGCCCCCCTGGAACGACGAGGCTTGCATAGGCTGCTGAATCACTTGGAAGATTAGTGATATGGGTGGCAGCCCTCTGTTCTAAAGCACAATCCCAATACGTTCAGCTTTTTCTTCGTTCCTTTCTTATTTTCGCACCCGCAGTGGTGCCGGCATGAGGCCGGATGGCATCTCTGCCGGCTCGCTAATGCTTCTCTGTCGCTCTGTTCCATCATCGCCAGAACTGCCATCACCATTATCATACCCCCCTTCTCCGCTGCTAGACCCGCTGTCCTCGGTGTCATCATCACCAAAGACGATTTGCCGCATCACGTTCTTCTCGAACAGATCAATCACCAGCCTACGGACGCCGAGCCTGTAGTGGTTCCACTCCATGAGTCCCATCACCTTTTTGAAAAAGTCTGTACTTCGGAAAGCATTTGGTTTTCTCTGCTTTAACTTCTGCAGCTCCATAAGCGCCTTCTTGTAGAGCACCATGTTACCAAGGTCAACAATCAGTTCCAGAATTCGACCGTTGACGTCCTCTTCGCTCAACAAAGGAGGCAATTCAGAGAGCTCTAGAGGTGGGCGGGCTTTCTGGATCGGAGGCTGTGCTTGTATAGTTCGTTGCGTATCGGGAATAGTTATTGATGCAGCGTTGACGTGTTGCCATGGTGCGACGGAAAAGAATTTGGAGAGATCGTTCGGTACACAAAGACCAAGAGAAGTCCCCATTGACGTTGTGTTGGCGTCCCAACCGTGTTCTGAAAGAATCTCTAGTCCATGGGTGGATCGGGAAATCAACCCCAGCACGAAAAATGCCGTCCCGCGAAGACTCATCACTTCATGCCCTTCAGCGATCTTGACAATTTTCTCAACCACATCACTTGATTCCAGGAACGGCGCGCCAAGTTCCATTGACCCTACGTTGCCAACAGCCCAGAGACACCCCTTGACTTTGGTAATGAGCTCCGTGTCCTCTGTTTGCATACCGTGCTCGCGTATAGTCGTGACGAATTCCTCGAAGTGACCCTTGTCACGCAAAAGTTTGCAGCCTTCTCGGGTTCTAGTTAGTTCTCTGTAAAAATGCGGCGGAACATGGCTGTCGTGAAACCCGGCCTCCGGATCCGATTCGTCAAAGAGGCTCAAGCGATGGCTATTGTCATCTGGGTCAGCTAAGAATGCCCGGGCTAGGCTTGCTTCAATGACGCCGACATATGAATCATTTCGCCCAAGGAACCAATCATCCATTTCATTACTGATGTAGTCTAATCCGTCCAAGTAGTGGTATCCGATAGAGGTTGACAGGAAGCGTAAGAGCAGGGGCGCACCTATTTCTCCTAGATGGTCCAGAGCTGGGCGACATTGAACTATGTACTCCAGATATACCTTCTTGTTGCAGGCACTTTCCAATATCTTGATTGCGGTTGAACATACTTCAATCTCGGGATCGTAGAGCTGCGTGACTAGAAGACGGATTGCCCATTTCGAATCGCTCACTTCATTGTCGCCGCTATTGTTGGCTACCGGACCGATGGTGCATTTACGGAGGGTATTGGTGGCATGGATTCGAATATCTTTAGTTCCGGCAGTGAGGGCCTTGGAAAGTAATACACGAGGATGGCCTTGCAAGCCATAATCAAAGTTGGAAAGAAGTAACTTGATCAGATCCGGGCGCTGCTTAAAGTCCACGATGTGGTACATCATGTTAAACATTCGCCACCTCTCTAGCAGAAGCAATCCTTTCGGCTCGCTGCTGAGAACGCCAAGCACGGCAAAGTATCCTCCGCAAAGAGTGTCGGTAAGTCGATCCTTGGAAAACATGGGAAACTGAGCAGTAAGCCCGCTTGTCTGGAGAAAAGTTAGAAACAATACACGACTAAGCGTTTGCTGGTATTGTAGCCAACTCACCGGATCACACTGAGCTAGACACTCAGCAATTTGCCTCAGCAACTTGCTATCGGCCAAGAACTTGATCCCTTCGGGTGATTGGAGAAGCGAGTGTACCAAGGCGCACCCGGCCCTAACGTATTTTTGTGTTCCCCTCGTGTTCTTCACCTCTGCAAATTTATACTTAAACGGGCGATAAAAACTCATTAGTCTCTTCATGAACTTGGAGGCCTTGACTGCTTCGTCTAGACGCTTCCCAGTTTGAAGAGGGCCATCTATGATTTTCAGAATAACCTCCCAGTTCCACTTCATGTAGTTGGAGCTGTTGAGCACGCTGGAATCGATAAGCAGTTGACGAAATGTAGCATCGTCCAGCGCCACGGCAGGGTTGCTCGACTTCGGCTGTTCATCGAATCGCACTAAATTTCGCATGCTATCACTGGAGGGGAGACCACCGGCCATCGATTCTGACGGAGCGCTCCTGTAAAGCGTTCTACTAACACTGCTAATTTGATAGACAATTCCAGATGCATTGAAATGATCCTCGTTATCAAACTCAGCGGCTGCCGAGAACAGCTCAGGTAGCAGCTGTAAGTCTGCACTCCACGAGGGTGGTAGAAGTCGACTAGAAAGTTTCAGGACTTCCCCAATTAGCAAAGTCGACTTTCGCTTGAGCATGGGATCTCCTTCGGTTTGCGCCATCCGCAGCAAACTCTGCAACAGACCTGACTTGATGAAGACCGCGAGAAGCAGCGCTGTGTAGTGGTCAACAAAACTTTGCTCGCCAGAATCTTCCTCCATATCCAGCGTTCCGCTCCGTCTCCTCGCAACAGACTTCATGTTGGCGACACGGCCATACGTCGTGAGACGCCTTCCGGCCAAAAAGGAAGTTGCCCACGCTGGAGGTTTGATGCGAAGCAGCGAGAAAAGAAGGTCTAGGACGGTTTCTCGGATGCTCTGGCTGGGGAAGAGCATACTGGCAATAAGTGAGCGAATCGGTCGAAAATCATACATGCTCAAGGTCATGAGTCCGGACCATGATCTCAAGGCTACAGAAATGGCCCCGGAAGTCTGCTTCAGTATGCTATCAGCTCCGGCCAGTAGGTCCGTAAAAGCGGTGAAAACAACGTCGAGACCATAGCCCGGAATGATGTATTTGCGCTTCTGCGGAGAGTCCAGGAGGAAGAGAAAGGCCCAAGTTAAGCTCTCAGGGGACTTGTAGGTGCCCTCAGCCAAAGCTTCTGAAAGCGTACCCAAGCCTCCCGATGCTATCAACAGAGCTGGATCCCGAACCAAGATCTCGGCCAGAGTCTCAATGCATATAGGCCGTAATCGGTCGATGCTTTGGTCTGCGGCGTGCATGCCTGGACGCCTATCCTCACCTTGCTCAGCTACAGCAACAATCGTCCGAACAATGGCTCTAGAAACTTCTTTAATTCCATCCTTCACATCCAAGAATGCGCGGACGAATTTAAGGGCCTGTTCTCTTTCCACATCGGCCTTGCGATAATTGCTCAAAGACCTGAGAAGAAGTTTGTTTAGCGTGAAATGTGTTTGCGATGTAGGCTAAAACGCGAAGAGAAAAGGAAGGGGAAATCGTACCGTATGACCAAATAGTCCGTATTAAAACTCCGAATCCTCTTGATGGATGCAGAGTCTGAAATAGCATACCTCGCCACCCGATAACCGACAGCCACAACCTCTCGACTTTCGCTCAGAAGCATCATTTGCATGCGCAACCCAAAGATGGCCCAGACCAAATCATATTTCAGCGCAGGGTGGCGCTTGAATAGATCCACAAGTTGATTTGCTCTGCTCACATAGTATTCTGGTGTCATCCCTTCCACCTCCAGGGCCTGGAGAAGCTCGGCAAGCGCAAAAGTCGGGTTCTCGGCAGCATCGTCGAGGTCTGATCCGGCAGCGGATCGGGCAATACTGGGGGGTGACCGAAGGCCATTTGACTGAAACACAGTCTCCTGTGCTCGGTTCCTGGTTGGGGTAGTCGGCGGAGGTACTCTTGTACGTTGTGCCTCGGAGATCTTTTGACGTAGCTCCTTGATTCTCAAATTGCTGGCATTCAACTCGGCTTCTACTCGTTGACGCTGCTCCTTGGTCTGCTTGGCCTTCTTGATATTCAGCGCCTCGAGCATATTCTCACTACCTTCTTTGATCTTCACTTCTCGATTCAACTTGTCCCGCAGAGTTGACAGTGCTTGTTGCATGGCGGCTTCGGTACCGTCTTCCTCGACCTTGTCCATGATGCTGCCAGTGTATATTGATCCCACATCCATACGACTGCCTGCACGGCTCGACATCGTTTGGCTACGGAGCTCAGAGCTGAAGCTACCGGGGCCAATAGTAGGATTGAGACTGCTACCACGAGGAGCAAAGGAAACGACAGAGGCGGCCAAATTCCGACTCGGCACGCCGTTCAATGGCTGAAGTCCGCTTCCATCGCGATCTATGCTCGTCCGGCCTGTTCCTGCCTGCGAGGAGGTTGGATTATGTTGACTGGGTGCATTATGCTGGGAGGAGGGTTGACCCGGCATGCTTAAACCACCCCAACAATGGGTTTAGACAAAGGCAGAGTGTGGACTGATAGTCTTCCCACCGACGTGGGCTGAGCCCTGTATTCGATTTCTGTGCATTCGAATTCGAATTCAAGCAGAAACACGATTTCGGACTCCTGCGACGCGGAGAATGGAGTTTGTGATAGTGTCGGGTCGTATCTCGCGAGTTTGCGTTGTAGATGCTCTAGCATTAGAGGCTTCAGGGTTTTGAAGGAGGTTATCTTTGCGTAGGCAAAGGCAACTTGGTGCAAGGTGGTGGAAACCTTTACGCTACTGAATTTGTTCAAGTAGACAGACGTTGTGAGCGAGGTCGATACAACGGTCGATGGATATGCTCGGTGCCGAGTGTAAGGCGTCAATGCAGATCCGGCTCGCTTATAATGCTATCATGAACAGGAAGCTGTCGCCACCTTCGGTCATTAAATGCTGGACGGGAAAGTGGTTTCGGTTTGGACGATGGGATTTGGGCCGAAGGTCCCCTGGGCGGCGTCTTCTGCAATCGCACGGTGAAGAGCTGCAGCTTGGACAGCATCGGCCGAACGACTTGTTGGACCAGGGTTCAGAGATATGCAATTCGAGTAGCGCTTCTCATGGCTGATTGTCGATATCGATGGCTGTCGATGGGCTAGCGTTGCGACGACCTGGAATGCACCGACAGGCTTGAGGACTGGACATGGAGCCAGGTACTGATTGTGATGCTGGATTAGGTACCCTGGCCTGGGAAGTTGGCTTCAGTTGTTCGGGAGGATGCGCCATTGCCTGGTGGGTGTGGAGACTTGGAGGGCACGGAGGGGTCACGAGGACGAGAAAGACGACTGAGCAGCGCTTGTGTGGGTCCGGCTTCAATATTCAAACGTCAAGTGCTAGGATCGGATCTGGTCGAATCTGCCCTCTGGTGATGTTGATCTACTATCAAGAACTAATGATTTGTATATCGCCGAGCAGGGGAAGATAGGAAGATATGGCTCTATTCACATATCGCTGGTGGTACTACTAAAAAGTAGCCTGCGTACCCCGAGATGGCCTGCCAATGTAAGTATCTTCTACTTTGTCCTCCGACTCCTCCTGCCTGCTCTGGTCACCACCAAAAGGGCCAGGCCTTTCGACTGAGGGCTGGCCGCACGACATCAACGCCGTCCATGTCAGCAGAGTCATGGCTTTGACATCGTTGATTGCCATGAGCAGTCGCGGCGGATGCCAGAGTTGATATCGGCGTAGAGGGCTGGGTAGAGGGCTGGGTAGAGGGCTGGGTTGCGGCGAGTGCCTGCAGAAGCCGTATCAAATCAAGCCCCGCCACCGTCTCCATTTTCGCTGATTCCCGACTCATATTTCCAGACTGCATCGGAGCAGCCCATTATTAGTTAGTTGTTTGCTCGGTAGGTCTACGGATGCTGGTCGCAATTGCTTCCTGCTCCAAGGAAACATGGCGCACATGTGTCATTCACGTCATTCAGGCTTGGTGGTTCGGACAGCACTGAGTGGCCAACGCCGCCGTGCTGCTTGACTTGACATTGATGCCTTACTCCATCGTCAGTGACATGTTTCGGGGGGTGTATTGATGCCAGTGCTACGTAACGAAGCTACTAAATCTACCAGGTCTCGCCCTAGGCAGCCAGGCCAGGGCTTTCCAGTGTTTCCTATCGCAACATTGATCCTCCCGGGGTCCCGCGTCGCCGCAGCGCCCGCATCGCTGGGGTTCGGCGGGCTCCGGCAGCCACCGCGACAGATGATTCGATTTGGCTCGCTGTTGTGATCAACCCATTGCGTCTGGTGTGTTCCGGTAATAGAAGAATGGAACCGCTGTGTTTCCAGCCATTAAGTTAAACTCCAACGCCGATGGCCCTGGACTCCTGGTCCTTTGTCCTCCCTGACGCATTTGGCCGACGCATCCTACGTACAATTGTTGAACCCCCCGTCAAGCAAGACAACATATAAAGGCGCCCACAGCCTCGACGGCTGCGGCAGCACGTAACCTTCTTCCAAGCTTTAGAGTACCTGGTTTTGCCGCAGCATCGGTTGATGTTGAATTTCGGTTTGCTGCTTTGAATCCTCGACTGCGTCAATCACTGAGTTGTGCCCCTAGCGCTTCCTGCTTGTTCATCCGTCTCTGCCGCGTCGGTATTCGATATCCGCGTTCAAGTGCCATGGGACAGGAAACCCTCTTGCCCGTCAGAAACAAGTCCAATATGCCTTACATCTCTGCCGCCCGTTATGGAAAGGACAATGTCCGCCTCCTCAAGGTCACCCGCGACCAGACCACTGGTGTTCAGACCGTCACCGAGATGACCGTCTGCTGTCTGCTCGAGGGCGACATTGATACTTCCTACACTGAAGCTGATAACAGCGTTATAGTCGCAACCGACTCCATTAAGAACACCACTTTCATCATTGCCAAGCAGCATCCCGTCAACCCTCCGGAGCTGTACGCTTCCATCCTGGGCAACCACTTCATTCAAAAGTACAGCCATATCCACGTTGCCAATGTCAAGGTCGTCACTCACCGATGGATACGTATGGACGTTGATGGAAAGCCGCACCCGCATAGCTTCATCAAGGATGCCGGCGAGACTCGCAACGTCGAGGTCCGTGTGAGCCGCAAGGATGGCATCAGCATCACCAGCTCCATTGTAGGCCTCACCGTCCTCAAGAGCACGGGTTCTGCCTTCCACGGCTTCGTCCGCGACGAGTACACCACTCTACCCGAGACCTGGGACCGTATTCTGTCCACCGATGTCGACGCCAGCTGGAAGTGGGCAACGTTTGCCGACCTCAAGGCTGTGGAGGAGAGCGTTCCCAAGTTTGACAAGGCTTGGGACTCTGCTAGAAACATTACCCTCAAACTCTTTGCCGAGGACAACAGCGCTAGTGTTCAGAACACAATGTACAAGATGTGTGAGCAGATCTTGGATGCGGTACCGGAAACTGAGACGGTTGCCTACTCGCTGCCCAACAAGCACAACTTTGAACTTGGTGCGTATTATCCCACTCTTGTTTTTTTTTTTCGGTTTCCGAGACTAAAACACTATGGTGCGTGGAATACTTACTGACTTTTTTTCTCTCATTTTGGCAGATCTGAGCTGGCACAATGGTCTACAAAACACGGGCAAGGACGCCGAGGTTTACGTTCCCCAGACCTGCCCTAATGGTCTCATCAAGTGTGAGGTTTCTCGATCTTGAATCGCAGGCAGAGCTGTGCAAGATGTGAAAGGACAATAGCACGGAGGAGCTGGAGTGCTGAACCGCGCCGCGCAAGGGATGACAATACCATGATACTTATGACTGCATTATCACAGTGCCTTTGACAATCTGTACTGGTCTGTAGGAAATTCTATACGCATACAAACATATACAATATCGAGATGAGTCTTGTTTAATACAAGTGTGCCGCCTCTTTTTCACGAGAAAGCGTTGCTTCGCTCGAGCTCCTTCGGTGTCCCAAGCCTCGGCATAGGATTAATCGCATGTGTTAGTTTTCACTTGCGAGGTTTCTGCAAGGCATGTACATTCATGACCGCCAGTAAGCATGAGCCTCGCCCATAAAGAGTTCACCAGGAATTTCGCCATTATATTTATGCACGGCAGCTCGTCAGACATCTTCCGTATAATACAAATGTTACCAAAAATTAGCTCAGCCCAATCATCTGACGTTTGGAGCCTGAATATGTACTGGTTCATAACCGCTTCTTGTCGGATTCTCTAATCTTCTCCACTGCCTGCTGCCAACCTTCGCTGCCAACTACAACACCACCGAACCGCACCAAGTTATCCTTGTACGGATGTGCATCGCCCTCAAAGGCCTTCAATCGCGCAAGTCGCTTGTCCCGCAGTCTATTTTTGGGCAGCATGCCCCGTACAGCCTTTCGCAAAACCTCGCTGCCTCCATGCTTTTCCATGAGTGCATCCATCGTGAGCTCTTTCAGACTTCCGGGTCGCGTAGTGTGTCTGTAGTATGACTTTCGCCACATCTTGCGGCCGGTTGTGTGCAGCGCCGCGCAATTCGTCACGACGACATAGTCTCCGCAGTCTGTTGAAGGGTCCCAGATCGGCTTGTGCTTACCCATGAGAAGCACGGCTATTCGAGATGCCAACCGTCCCAGAGACGGCGGCGTGACATCTGGTTGGGTCGTGAGGGTCTGGTGAGGTTTAGAGGCGGATATTTGATGCCATACGCGTGAATAGGCGAGGCGAGTCTGGCAAGGTGCGAGTTTGGTTAGGAGGCGCTGCCAACGACGGCTTCAACAAAAGTGCTGGCCAAGAGCGCAAAACTTACCAGCCCAAGGGTCTGAGACATTTTGAATTAGTCGAGCATGCAATCCCTCGTAAAAAGAGAGGCCGCGAAAACAGCTGCACTTTTCAAAAGCACTCAATGGTGCTGGGCCACATGTGCAAGCTTGCAGTGAAAGTTTGATGGTTTGAACCGGAGCTTACTCACCCTGATTGGAGGTCACCTGACAGGGCCAATTGTCACTCCTGCCGGGGCTCGGCCGGGACCTGAGTTCTCTAAAGCAAGTGGATTTCAAAGCAAGTACGTAGTGCTCGTGCTGGAATCGATTTGAAATGCCCGTAATACCAGGCACAGCAACTCGTGTTGTACTATCTGCCTCTCTTGGCCTGCTGGCAGGGTATTCATTTTATCGCTATTACTCTTCAAATAAAACCAGATCTCAAGGTTTGATCTCTCTGTCTCACGCATTTTGGTATGGCAGAGCTAATAGCCAAAGCTGGCACAGGCAAAATGACTGTTGACCACCCATTCCAGGTATGAGGCTACGCAATCATGTGGTTGCCACTCTGCATGTTGCACAACTGCATAATGCCGTGAGGATACACGGAAGACTTGCCATTTTATCGTCCTTGTCTATCCCTCCCTCTCTGTCTCTTTCTTTCTTTCCTTTCCTTCTTTTTCTCAACCCCGCCCCACGTTTGCTGCTTCTTTATGATGTCCCATCAAAATTCCCCGAAGCCCACTTGTGAGACGCTTGAATGCTGATGAAACATGTGGCACAACAGACCGTATTCGCGGTGCCATTGTCTTGTAATGGCTGTGTCAAGACAGTTTCAGACTCAATTTACAAACTCGGAGGTGTGAGCAAAGTCGAAGGAAACTTGGAGGATCAGTTAATATCCGTCGAAGGCTCCGGTTAGTCCGTTTTCGTTAGCGCGTCGAGCCGAGTTTATCTCAACTAACATTCGCCACAAAACCTAGCCGCACCGTCAGCCATCGTTGAAGCCATTCAGGCAACAGGGAGAGATGCAATCCTCCGTGGATCCGGCGCATCTGACAGTACGTATTTGAAACCCGATCTTCTTATTCCCCCCCTCGGCCATGCCAATTCCGTGGCGGTTCCAATGCCGAATTCATCTGAACCCCTTGTGGGTCCCTGGCCAGGAGATTTTTCGTGTTGACATTGGTCGAACCCAGGCGCCGCTGTTAGCATTCTTGAAACGTTCACAGGGAAATTGCAGAAGGAGGACGATAAAGGAGACCGAGAAGTGAGAGGATTAGCGAGGATGGTACAGGTCAGTTCTGGAAGAACTCTTGTGGACCTAACTGTCCGAGGGCTCGCTCCAGGCACGTATCGTGCCACGATACGTCAATACGGGGATCTAAAAGATGGGGCCAAGTCGACAGGACCTGTCTGGTCTGGAGATCAACCTGAACGTAACGGTGTCTTGGGCGAGGTTGATGTTGGTCAAGATGGGCGAGGTGCTGCCTTCGTTGATCATCCTTTTCGGATTTGGGAGGTGATTGGCCATGCCATGGTTCTAACACGACAAAATGAGGCAGTTGGGCCTCTCGAGAATGACGACAACACCGTTGTTGGAGTTATTGCTCGAAGTGCAGGTGTATGGGACAACGACAAGACAGTATGCTCCTGTACTGGAAAAACATTGTGGGAGGAGAGGAAGGACGAAGTCCGGAAGGGCATGCTGTAGATGAGACGTATATCACATATCGATCATACTACGGTTTCCAATTGATGAGTGACGAATTGAGGTATCGTGATGATGCCAAATGCCAAAGGCGCAGCATGCACACGGCCCCTTCTGTTGCAGACGTAGTCACTCCTTAATTTACGGTTGTAGCATAGTAGCCCGGAGATGGCCACACAACGTTCATTCCACACTGGACCGTATGATATACAAGGTAAATATGCGATGAAGTTGGAAACATACAAGTTGATTGATTGGCTGCCTGAAAAGCGCACATGCCACTTGTCAAGGGACTGTACCTGTCGATGACACGCCGTATGTATTGTGATTTTGAGAGCATTGATCTCTCATAATAATGACAACGGAAGAAGGGCAGGCATACGCAGCCTTGGGCCAACGTCTACGGTTAGTTCTGATAGTGATGCTTCGCGGGTCGAATAGGAGCAAAAGTCTTTCCCGAAAAAAAAAATTGATAATAATAATAATGATAATAAATAAAAAAAATTAAAAATAAGAAAATAAAACACATGTACAATAAAGCTAGTAAAAACAAGAATGTACTAGTCCTTTAGGTGGCATACAAAGTCAACGTTATTAGCTCAGTTTGGTTGGGCGTGGCGGTCCATGCAACCCCCATAAGTTGATTCCCCTGTCCTAGGAAGTTAATCCATATCCTCTTGGGCCACCCTTGTGTGCGGTGGCACCACAATCGAATGACTTTTGGTCACGCATTGCTTTCGAGGGCGTTATCAGATCAAGTGGCTGTAAGAAGAAAAAGTAGAAAGTTTTCCGGTCGTCAAGATTTGAGAATGTCAGAGGTGGCTCCGCCGCAGGGTTGCCTACGCCCACTTCCACCAACTTCTGTTACGTCTTGTCATCATGCATCGGTGGGCAATGTTGTTCACGTTCGCATGCGGTGTCATGAACACATTTTTGCCATCCGAATATTCATTCCCTGTATCATGGCCGAAAGGCAGGAGGAGAGAGAAGGCGGGATGGGAACTTTTTTTTGTTGTTGGGGGGGAGAGAGGGGGTTTTCTGGCTGGCACACGATAGACCAAGTCATTTTCAATATCGGCCAGTGTTTGGCAACAACTGCAGCGATCCTTTTGGATAATAGCGCACATGCACATTTGTGATATTTGTGATGTTGGAGTTAGCTTGCATCAACCAAAAGACTTGGTTTATGGATGCGTCTCTTATCACAGTCGATGGATTCATGGTGCGAGACGATGATGCATATCGGTCACGTAGCTTGGCGGGTTGACACAGACCGCCGGCATAATATTGACATTGACATGCACATGTGCTTGCGTGACGATTCTATTGTTGGAACAGAGGAGGGAAGCGGCCAGGCCAGGTCAGGGGAGGCACGAGGATTGGAATTGAAAAATACCACCAGTCAGACACAACCATGGCGGCGCTAAGTCACTTATTCCCACTGGGCAAAGGCCTCCCCCGCTAACACGGTGGACTTGGGTTGGAAAACGTCATCCTGCATGAGCGCTTGAGGCCTGGTGGCATCCTTGTTGGCCTGAGTGGTCGGGTCCGAACGCCGTCCCCCAGCGAAATCTGGACTGTTGGTCTCGAAAACCAAATGACCTGCCGATAGTAGCTCGATGTCTACTCGCGGCAAGATGGTGAAGAGCTTTTGTTCAGAGCCAGGCAAAATATCAGCCTAGCCGTCGGTAGAGGCCGGGTGGAAACAAGCTCTGGGCATTTCTGAAGGCGGCCGGGTCACCATGCGACAAGCATTGCAACATTGCAACGACAGACAGGAGGCGCTAGACGGTTTACTAATTAGTATGTAGTAGGTCCGTAGGCGGTTGGGTGTCAAACAGAGGAGGTCAACGGTACGCGCCGTGGCGGGCGGCCTGGAGGGGGATCGGTTGATCAATTGATGCAAGCGATGCTGGGTTTGCACCAATGGCAGCGCCTCGCCAGGGCCCTGCAGCATCATGCCTGACGATAGCTTGACGCCAAGGCCTGGCACCTGGCCAGTGCCCAACGCCACTCAACCGCACCTCGTAGCCCGTCTGGTCTCTCGTGAAGTAAACCATTGGTGCCTTGGAGAAGAGAGGTAAAGAAGCCGGAGGAACCAAAAAAAAATCAACTACAGCGAAAACTAGAGGGGCCTTAATATCGATACAAACGCAATGTGAGCGAAAGTGCAAAACCTAGTTTTCCAACCAGCTGTGGGGGGTATGGCGAGTGTCTATTTTACAGAAGGCCAATATGGAACCCGTGGTATGGAGACAGCGGACGACGATGGACAGTAGAGTTTATATCACTGCATGGCGTCAAAGTCTAACCTGTGCATATTTTCTGTCACCGTTGGATGTGCGTGTGCTCCGTAGGCTGACATCCATGCAAGAAAATTAACAAAGTTTCAATAAACACTAAATCCAGCACCTTGAGATTTAAAGCTGCCCCGAAAGTTCGGGAAGCATTTGGCACAGGCAAGGGGCAAGACATGGTTATGTGCCAGGTGATGAATTTGTAATTAGATGGGTTACACTGCAGTCAAAAGTTTGGTGTTCCTGCGTGCTGCGTGCTGCGGTGCCCAAGGCACATGAAATATTACGTAGCTAGCGCAGTACGAAGTCGTACGGACGTCGTACGAACGTAGAACGAGCCTTGCCCTGATGCAGTGCTTAATTGCTTGTCCTGACACAGGATCGGGAACCCGTAAAAGACGACCAAGCCAGCCAGACACCTTGAGCTGAACATGTTGCGTGGAACCGTGAAGAATTTCGAGACTAATGGCGACCCTTTGTGGTGATATACTCTACTCAAATGACAAGTCGCTGAAATACTACAGCCCCGTTCTGGTTGCTGGAGTTAAAGTGTCAAACTCGGCACTCGGCGTATTCGTTTGTTTAGACGGCCAGAGGGAAACGGGCGCGAACGGTGGCGTTTCGTAACTTCATCCATGGTCGTAGGGCTCACATATTTGCCAACCGGCGCAGGATCGTCGTCCTTCGACTCCGCGACACACCTCGACGCGACGCCGGTGACACGATATCAAGGTGGTGAGGACTCGACGTGGCACCGGAGCCGTGGTGCCGTGTACGTCGAGACTACTTAAAAACACTCGTCAAGCCTGCCGACGGGGCATGGGAACCGATTAGGAACACGGACCCGGCGATCATACATCTTGGGCCTGGAGAATGTATTGTGTGCACTCCGTACACATTCGTATTGGCTCGTCAAGTCTGGTGCCGCCTTACAAAGCACTGATTGATGCGCGTAAAGGACGGATGGCCAGGGCAAGTCGATGGCATTCAGACTTCATGTCAGAATCCAGCTGGTCCAGATGTCGTCAAGTAGCATTCGAACCTGGACGCTTGGGGCAATTGGCAGCAACTTGAGTTGGCCAGAGGAAGGGAGCGGAGCGGTCGGTACGTACCTAGACTTAGCGACGGGCCCCTGACCCCGGCAGCCCCGGTTCGAAAAAATGAAGAAGACATGGAGGAAGAAAACTTCCCCCACTTCCCTCCTTCAGACGTCGTCACCCCCTCGCAAGCCTCAGCCCCTGGCCGACTGGGCCCTGAATGGGCCCGGTGGGCCTGGTTGAAGACACGGGAAGCACCAGACTGGACTTCAGGAATGGCGCCGCCGCCGCGAGACGCCAGACACCAGTTGACACGAGCTTGAGTGCCCGGGCCATGCTGGCGGCTACGGAGTAATGCATTGTGGCATTGTGCATTGTGTGTGGTTGCGTGGTGCTCAGTCTGCGATTCGGCCTTGTTCAGTGTTTGTGGCCCTGTTGTCCGTCTATCTACAGGTACACTACCTCGCCCGAGTAAGCGCGTACAGTACTGTGCCCAAGTACTCCGCCGTTGCACTAAGATGTGTGCATGCTCGGTTCCCTACCCCATACGGTGTGCCGCCAACTGCTCCTTGGCCATCAATCCATCCATTCACCATGAATCATCATCCCACTAGTCCCCATGAGACCAACACCACCGGCTTGGCGGTTCGACCTTGCCTGCCAGCCTGCATCCTGGGCCACACCGTCTCTCGCGCAACCCGTTCTATGTTGCTCGGTCCTTTATCATTCCCGCCTTTCCCATGCTCCAGCCCATGTTTACTACCCAAATAGTCGCTCAGACCCATAACCAACGTACATACTAATCTTCTCATCTTGGCTGCTGCCGCTCACCAGCCCCAGAACGCTTCTACGCAATCTGCCTGGGAAGCGTTGTCCAGTCTTTTCCGTCCTGTCCAGCTTCTGCCCGAATCCTGCCTCGTCTTCAACTTCTACCAGCTACCAGTCACCAGTCGACAGACAATAAGTCGCCAGCTATCAACTCTTTCTTGGACCAAAGGCCACAAGGCGCCGCCCCCAAACCCATGAAGTCCTTGACAACAACACCAGGCTTCAAGCAAACCAGCTTATAGGATACTTCATCCGAAATAGCTCATCAACGAGTTCCCATCTCCACGGCAGACAGGGCACCAATTTTTCCACTTACTACTCTGCCTGACAAACGCTCACCTACTAGTCAGTATCAACCGCAGGACGTCCCGAAACTGGCCACCGAGCACCGACCACAATCTACAACGTCACTCGCTTCGCCCTGGAGGCGCCTTTTCTCGAAGGGCGACGACGAGTCGTCTAACTTTGCTGCCAGCTATCAATTGTTGCCCGCAAACCCGTTGTCGGTAGCCTTCCAGGCTGTCTTGTCACATTGCCAATTTTCGCGCCAGATGCGGGTCGCCTAATCCCAGGATTCATTCTTGGCGAGTGGCCAAGAAACACAGTCTCTGTCGACAAATACTTGGCCTGCTTCGCGGCCTTGACTGTCATCGTCACACTCCTAGGGATCGTTGGCACCGCAGGCGGGCTCTTCGTAACCATCATCTTGGGACCACCCTCCCTGTTCTACAGCACAATACGCCGACTTCGCCATATTTTTGCACCAACACCCCAACTTGCGAGATCCATTGATAATCTGGAAGGACGGACGAACTGGTGGGCATACTTGTTCAACTTAGACATAGTTAAGGACCCATTTTCCTGTAAACGCCGCTACTTCTCGCCAATATCTTTAAAGCGCAAAGCTTTAGTACGATATACTTGGAGTTTGATAATACTAGCCAGCCACCCGCCTCTTTTGATCCCACTTCCGAGGGAAGCTGTGTGGCACACAGAGGCCAGATATTTCGGTTTCACAGACTCCGCAGAATCACCCTCATTGACCGCTGGCGTGTCTCTGAGACGGAGAAATAATCCATCATGTCCTTGAAGCTGGTAAGTACGATCAACGAGGGATGCGACAAAGGCTTCGTGCTAATCAAAGGGGGGTGGGATAGGAAATCGAGACATGGGTGGCGGCCCTGGCTCGTTATGACAACAATGAGTTCGATGACGCTCTCGGCGAGTTCGACAAGATTGCCGACACAAGCAAGATTCTGTTTAATATGGGTGTTATCCACGCTACATTAGGCGAACACGAGAAAGCTGTGAGTTCCATGCTTCCTTTCCACATCTGCAATCAAGCTGTTTGTTGTATACGTTGGAGGAGTGTTAAAAGGGTCTTGATCACGACTGACCGTGACTCTACTCTTATCATTCAGGTTGAATGTTATCAGCGTGCTATTCGCCTTGACCAATATCTCGCCGTCGCATACTTTCAGCAAGGTGTGTCCAATTTCTTACTTGGCGACTTTGAAGAAGCTCTCGCAAATTTCAACGATACGCTATTGTACCTGCGGGGCAATACAATGATCGACTATGCTCAGCTCGGTCTCCTATTTAAGCTTTATTCCTGCGAGGTACTCTTCAATAGGGGCTTATGCTACATTTATTTGCAACAAAAGGAAGCTGGAATGCAGGATTTATCTTACGCGGTAAAGGAGAAGGTTGTAGAGGACCACAATGTTATAGATGAGGCAATTCGCGAAGAGGCTGAAGTAAGACTAGTCAACTACCGGCGCCAAATGATTCTGACGGTACTGACAACGAATGTCGCAGGGATATACCGTTTTCTCTATCCCAGTTGGCGTAGTCTACCGACCAAATGAAGCCAAAGTTCGAAACTTGAAAACGAAGGACTATCTAGGCAAAGCAAGACTAGTAGCTGCGTCGGATCGATCGAATGCCTTCACTGGATTTACAGGGTCAGAAATCAAGAATGTAAGTCCCGAGAAACCTTTCGTGTCTCCTATACAAGAGCCTGACATGGCCAAGGCTGGTCAGAACGAAGTCAAAGATGACCGGCCGGCGGACAATATTTCCTTTGCCGCAACGAACTTGGTTAAGCCCGGTATTCAGTCGCGGCGGCAGCAATCAGAACCTCCAACGAGCCGGAATGTGTTTCCACCCACCCCTCCCCCTGAAAATGACCGACCCAATCGAGGAAGTGTTCGAAACGGCTCAAGACCGACGCCTGCCAAATTGACGATTCAGACGCAAGAAATAGGCCGGAAATACGAGAAAGCCCCTTCCCCCGAGGAAATTCGCGCAACTCGGTCTGCGTCATCATCAGGGTCTCGGGGCTTCTCTAGAAGAGACCCCCCACCAATGCAACGACGTCCAACCAGACCAATTGAAGAGGAGGACGAAGCTGACCCTGCTGATCTGTATGACATGTACCAAGGTGGGGGAGGTGGATCAAGTATGTCGAGAGACAGCCGTCCTTCAACGCGCTCAAGACAGCAGCCTCGATATCTTGAAGACGACGACGGATCAGATTACGATGGTTCTCTTGGCGGGGCTGAGTTTGAAATGGTGTCGAATGATCGCAGACGCCAAGGTTCGAGATCAGATTCTCGCGCTCCTTCCCGTCGACCTGAGATTCGCAAGATTCGTGTCAAGGTGCATGCCGATGATGTCAGATACATTATGATTGGCACGGCGATTGAATTCCAAGACTTCGTGGACAGAATAAAAGACAAATTCGGATTGAGACGACGCTTCAAGATCAAGATCAGGGATGAGGATATACCTGATGGAGACATGATAACTGTTGGAGACGAGGACGATTTAGAATTGGCGATCCAAAGTGCAACCAACCTAGCCAAGAGGCAGAGACAAGAAGTTGCTAAGATGGAGGTAAGTTTGGTCCAACACTTCCTCATGACTAGACCATACACCATGACCGGTCGACGGTACATAGTCGTTACGGTCTCCTCACAGTACTAGTTTTCCGCAAAATTTGCTAACAAACCAACCAGATTTGGATTTTCGATCTTTAGCTTTATACCCCGGAATTATTATGAAGCACATTGAATGCGGTGAATTGCATCAACAGCATAATCACGAACTAATTATCTCAAGTCTTCTAAAATAACGCTCATGTGAATCGTATACATTTTCACCATATTTTGCAATAGCGACATTATTTTGTTACTCTTTGCATGAGTTTTGTTTAGAATTTCACCTACTCTTTCACCTCTTAATGAGCGAATCGACCAGACTCGTCCTTTTTTTTTTTCCCCGTCATTCTTTACTTTTCCCTCCGGCGCCTTACTTTCACAACGGTGTCGATGAAGTGCAGTAGTTTCGTTTGTTGCAGATCACAGGATTGTATCCTACCCCCTTAGAGAGTTGGAGTATTTTGCTATAAATTAAAAGCGTAATACGGTTGAAAAGCGTTTACTTACCACTTCTCTTGGATTTGGAAACTAGGCTTGGATAAGTTCCTCTACCTCTGGCGTCACTAGAGCCAGAAGTCATATTTTAGGCTATGTTGCAGGAAGGGGTTTGGAGCCTTCATACTGAGACGAATAGAAGTAGGTTATTTATAGGCAGACTTCAAATACACTGCTTTCAGTAAACGCCATAATTTTTACCGAGCACTCGGGTGATGTCACCATAGCAGGGTAACAGCTCGTATACAAAAGGGAAGAAGCAGATATCCACTTCTCGTACAACAGGCTCTCTACAATGTTAAAAACACTACCCCGAGAAGCTTTGTAAGGGTATTCAGATAATAATATCTCCAATTCAAATGGTCAGGCGTGGTTCAGCAGTCTCCTTACAGTGTCGAGACGGAATCGCCACTCATCTCTCCCAAGAAGCATAAACATTCGGGAGCTGCTTTGAGACACGACGTCGTGGCCACCAGCACCCACGAGCCTCAACGTATTGTGCACCGTAATGTTGTCGATGCCTTGTCCTTCAAGCGTGGTCCAAATAGCGTTCATCACCTCAACACCTTGGGTAGCCCAGAGCTTTTTGTCGTCGACCGCAGAGCTAAGCGCTAGTAAAATTCGTCCATCGGGGTTGTACGATGCGAGCGAGTGTTTATATACAGTTTCGGGGACCCGCCAGAGGAGATAGGGGTGTTCTCGTATAAGTGCCTCGGCCGACAGGAATCCTCCTTTTTTGGTCGAAAAAATGTTGTAAACGTAAGCAGCTCTATTTTCCTCATTGGCCAAGGAAGGTACGGGAGTTAGTGTGCTACGCCATTCTCTGGGCAGCAATTCAGACGCGCGGGCTTTCTTGGTGACGGAGTCGATCTTCTGCAGCATGGGCTGGGTAATATGGTCGCTAATGAGACTAGTTTCCGTTTCTGACAGGTCAGATACAGGGTCCCACAATATAGCGTCCCGATATTTACTATCAAAGTGGTCCAGTTTCTCAATATTGAGCTTTATGCCACCTCGAGTGAACTTGAAAGTCAACTGCTCGTCTTGATTAGCACATGACCAGTATTTGCCAGTCACAATTAACGTACAGCATTGGCAATATCTGAAATGGTTCGAGGCGGCTTGACGTTGGGTTGAAAGGAGGAGCCCAAGTTAGCCAGCCATGATAGCAGAGCCATTGGGAAGACACCTTTTTCATGATATGTAGAGAGGTTGGTACTATCGTTGCGCTTGCTAAGTTTGCTGCCATCGGAGTTGACTAGCAGCCCGAGGTGGGCGAAGGTAGGAGGCTCCCACCCAAAGGCCATATACAGTGCCAGATGCTTGGGTGTTGATATCAACCATTCCTGGCTACTATTAGCACGTGGTATTATACCACCGTCTATAATGAACAAAAGCAGGCGCTCACTTCTCCTCGAATCACATGAGTTATGTTCATTAAATGATCGTCAACAACATTTGCAAGATGATAGGTTGGAAATCCATCGGACTTGAGCAACACAAAATCTTCTTCCAGATCCTGCTTCTGAAATAGCCCATAGATAGCATCACGGAACTTGGGTCGGCCAAAACTATCGCCTTTGAAACGAACTACGTGAGGATCTCCGTCGCGAGCTCGTCTTTCTGATTCTGTAGGTGGAATGGAGCGACATGTCCCAGGATATGCGGTGGACTTCCCAGCTTTGTGGAGTTCTCGCTTTTGCAGCTCGAGTTGTTCTGGGCTGCAGAAGCAACGGTAAGCGTGCCCATGGTCAAGCAAAGTTTGGACATGAGCCTTGTAGATATCAAGTCTTTCCGACTTTGCTGAGGTTAGATTGTTGTGCCTTGGCATCTTGCTGCATTGTTTGGTTCTTCGCTCACCTGTCTATATGGTCCAAACGGACCGCCGCAGTCAGGACCTTCGTCCCAGCATAGACCTGCCCATTTGAGATCACTGATCAAACGTTCCTCTGCATCATCTACCAGACGCTTCTGTAGCAATAGTCAGTTGTGAACGAGAACTGAAAATAAACTAGCCACTTACCTGATCAGTATCCTCGATTCGTAGAATGAACGCACCGCTGTTTGACGCCTTGGCAGCTAAATTATTAAAGAGAGCCGTTCTTAGAGAGCCCAAGTGCAAATATCCTGTTGGCGATGGTGCAAACCGGGCTCGGATGGGCAATTCAGAGCTTTGGCCCAAGATAATGCGACTTGCTTTTGGTCCTGCAGCTTTAGAATCTTCCTTGACCGCTTTGTTCCTTCTTCTCAGTGCCTTTAATCCAGATTCGCTGCTAGATGTTCCTGGACTTCTGGATTGGGCCACACTGTTCCCCTGTAGTGTTGGCACATCATTGCAAGTCGCTTGACTGAACCTGCGACTTCCGCGCACAGGTATGGCTCGATGGCCATCGAATCGGCTGGTGCAACTGAGGCAGCGGGTCGTCGACATGCATCTTGAACCAGGGAGTGACTTGGTCACTGAAAATGCTCTAACAAGTAGAGGCATTATCAATGAATGAATGGTTCAAGGTAGCAAGACACGACCCCTATGCGCTGTAGACTTGAATGGTTTTAGCTGAGATCCTTGGAAGTCGGCCGAGCATGGCACTACGCAGCTTTGATAGGGGCGCGCCACATGTGGCGTATTCTGAGTGGGGCATTTGTATTGACTGTGGCGTGTACCTATTAGTGATGAACTTTGAGGTCTTGTCGCGATAAAGGCTTGATATAAGTACCTAGTACCTACCTAGAGGTACCTACTGGGTAGGCGCAGTCTGTGGCAGGATACATTTGCCCACCGAGAAGTATGCGCTAATGTATTATAATATGTACAGTTGGGCCCTATCTGATGCATTGCTGGCACGAATATTGGGATAGGTTAAAAAATAAAAATCAAACGTCAAGGAATACTATAATTTATACTCCCCTGTATCTAGAGTACTTAGTAGGCAGGCAGTTTGATAGGCGGCAGTCATGTACTAGCAGCAGCCTTGTGCGGTCCACGTAAGATGTGCAGCAAACGTCCCGCGAATTACTGCCACTACGGTACTAACCTTAGAATCTGCGAGGTTCGCTCGGCACGACCCCGCGCCTCGAAAGATTTCTGCATTCTGCAGAGCCTGCCTGCTCCACATCGACTTGTTTCCAGGCTGAAGGTTGATCTTGTCATCAACAATTTGATTTCAGCCTCCACGAACCATGTCGGGTGCCATGGGCGAAGAAGAGATTGACCTCTACGGTATTTGCTTGATGATTCTTGATTCAAAATTTTCCATCCCTCTAACTGTTGTCATAGGTCTTCTCTCGATCGAGAGGGATGCGACTCAGGACCAAATCAAGAAAGCCTACCGCCAGGTACGCCCATCATTGAGAAAAAAAAACTTCCCGATCTTCTACTAACACAAACACAGGCAGCTCTTAAATATCACCCCGATAAGGTTCCGGTAGAACAACGCGAGGAATCCGAAGTCAAGTTCAAAGAAATCACACGTGCGTACGAAATTCTCAGTGATGAGCAGAAGAGACATCTTTATGATGCCCACGGCATGGCAGCCTTTGATCCATCCCGCGGAGGTGGTCCAGGCGGACCCGAAGTAGACCTCAACGATATACTCTCCCAGATGTTTGGCTTTAATATGGGAGGCCCTGGGGGGCCTAAAAGGCCTAGACGCGGACCCGATGAGGAGCAGGAATATAAAGTTACTCTTGAAGAACTCTACAAGGGCAAGACAGTCAAATTCGCCGCTAATAAGCAGGTTGTTTGCAGTCAGTGCAAGGGATCTGGTGGTAAGGAAAAAGCCAAATCAACCACTTGCGAACGCTGCAAAGGCAATGGCATGGTTGAGGCAATTAGACAGATCGGGCCGGGCATGATGAGACGAGAAACCGTGTTATGTGATCACTGTCAAGGTGCCGGACAGGTGTTCAAGGAGAAGGATCGCTGCAAGAAGTGCAAGGGGAAGCGGACGACGCAAGAAAAGAAAGCCTTGGAGATATACATTCCACGAGGGTCAAGGCAGGGCGAGAGAATTGTTCTAGAAGGCGAAGCGGATCAATTTCCAGACCAAATACCCGGCGATATTGTCTTCACTCTAGTAGAGGAGCATCACGATACTTTCTCGCGCTTAGGCAACGACCTGTCGGCAGAGCTCACGGTCACGTTGGCGGAAGCCTTGACAGGCTTCTCCCGAGTCGTACTCAAGCACCTTGACGGCAGAGGAATTCACATCGAACGACCGCGAGGCAAAATCTTGCGGCCCGGCGACTGCTTAAAGATCGCTGGCGAAGGTATGCCTATGAAACGAGGCGAGGTGAAAGGAGATCTTTACCTTCTTGTAACCGTGGAGTTCCCTGAGGATGGTTGGTTAAAGGATGATGCGTCGTATGGAGCCCTGCAAAAAATGCTGCCACCTCCTCCACCTCCTATTGAGGCTGAGGAAGTTGATGAACTGGAATATGAAGACGGAGCCGATATTGAGAAGGTATGATATTGCGCTATGTCTCAGTGCTCACTTACTTTGGCAGCTGTTAACATGCATTCTAGATGGGCGAAAACTCTGGAGATCCTCGGTTCGCAAGCGAGTGGGAAGACGAAGACGTTGATGAAGGCCAAGCTCAGTGCC